ATAATGAATTCCCATATAGAAGTAGATGGGAACTTGGTTCTTAGCTACAACATCGCAATACTTATAGGCGTAGGGTGATGAAAGGGGTGATTTACCTATAAAAATCTACATTATTTACTTTGAATTTTGCAGAATTATTACAAAACCAATATTATCGCGAGCTGATTAATAAATACAGGGATTCCAATAAGTATGTACTTACTAGCGAAAAATGGGTTATTTGTCATTATATTAAGTAAACCTTTTTTGTAACATTAAGTAATATCGTTAAAAAAAATGTAAAACAGTAAAATTCTGAGTTTTTCATTAAAATTCAATAATCATAAAAACCTATTATGATAATATATTTTTCATCATTTAATAAGAAGGAACTGTATCACAGTTTTATTGTTAGTACTTCGTATAGGATCAGATACTGCGAATACCCCATTTTTTTTTTCTTTTACATAGTACACCGCGCTATCACTTTGTTATCGTTGTAACTTTTTAAATATTTGTCGAAATGACATAGTGTAAAAAGCAAAGTTTATCGTCTTTAAATATCGAAAGCGATTAAAGTATTTGTTTTGATAAAATATGATTTGTTAATACAAAATGTGCATTTTGGAAATAGATATCAAATAATATTTTAGTTTTGATTCACTATTTTAGCGGTAATGACTTACACATTAAAAATAGATTTTTAGACCTATTTAAGAGATACATTTTCACTCTACATTACATTCATGTAACTTTTATTGTTTTTGCAGTGCAGGCCAAAATAGCTCGCAAATGGGACATTTTTTTCCGTCTTATGTGACACTTATTGCTATATATTGGCCAATTCACTCAATAACTACATAAATTATTATATATATGTAATTATCATATATGAGCTATATTACTGCTAAGTTTCATTAAAATCCATTCAGTATTTTTTAGGTGAAAGAGTAGCAAAGATCCATACAAACGTAAGATAGAAATTAAAAGCGTAAGTGGTTAATATACAACTTTAAAGCGTTGTAGATCCTAAACAATCATATAAAATGAAAAATGGCGTTAGAAACCTAAATATGATTTTTGATTATCTAGACAGTGATACCCCACTCGACATATTTTGTCAACTTTTTTTTTTACTTCGTCACAATACGGCGCCTAATTTTGCCCATATGGAATTTTGATTACTATCATATCTTTAGTAGCACTCCCATGATTGAGACGAATCGATTGATGTATGAATCATCAAAATCGGTCCAGGCGTTTGGTCTCTAGTGTGCCACAAAGGAACAAACATACATATATAGACTGTTAAACACATAACCCTGTCTGCGCGTCGCGCTTTGCGCTCTTGCATTGCGCAGCCGGGTAAAAACGTTGCTATTGCTATTAAATTTTATAGCAATAATTATTTAAATAAGTTATTATTTATTTTATTTCGCCATGCATTACGAACTACTTCGTGGTCCAGTGGTAAGCCGGTACGCTTTTTGGACCTGTTTGTGTAGTGAGTACTAGTATAGATCGCGGCAAAGTTCTTGAGCTAAACCACAAACAAATATACTTGCGCAGTTGACGTATTTCTATGTAAAATTGCTACTGCGCAGGTTTCTTTGTCTATGGTCGTTGCTCAAGAAGTTTGCTGGGATGCGTACCTAGTGTGTTAAATAATTATTAAAATGCACGCAGCGCAAATTTAGAAAAAATGTTTTAGTTTCTTGTTCTTTGGGCAATAATTAGAATTATCGACTGTGCCACACAACCAGCACGAAGCGCGACGCAGTGTATCGCCGTTTTTAACAGTCTATATTTTAGTATGCATGTTTGGAGGTTCTAATAAAAATTAACACGTCAAGTCTACTTTGCGAAAACGTCTTCTTCTAATATTTTTTTATGCCTTTCTTCTAAAAACATCTCGTTTTTATTCTTTGTGTGTGACTATGTTCGGCAGTACCTCAGGCTTATTTCCATTCAAGAGATGGGAAAATCCAAAAGTTCTCGCGCTTTTAATTTTATTCGATGTACGGCTCGGCTTGCGGCGTAACAACGCGCAAGCGCATCCAGTAATTTACGATGTTTTCAAAACAATGTGCTTTAAGATCTCGTAATTTGAGTTCATATTCATTCAGCTTTACGCGTTGATTTCCGGTAACAAGTCGGTGGCGTGATCGCCGCGTGTCGAGTGTGACAAATGACATGCGCGAGCTCAACCCAAGTCCACTGACCTGGCATACAAAGTAGATCAAACAATTAAAAGTAAAACTAATTTTTCTGGCAATCAAATTATAATTTATGTAATTTTATATAGGTCAAGTAGGCTGATCATATGTTTGAAATAAATAAATTAAGAACTTATCATTGTATACAGTGTGTATGCTATTTAGTAAATTTATGAAGCTAATGTACAATAAAAAAATAGATAGATGTTGTCACAACACAAGACTTTCAAGGGTTTTATTTTAAAATATATATATTATGTTTCTTAGGTTTTCACACACATCACGGTTTTAATGGGTTAATGCACAAACTATATTTATTTATTGAATATAAATGGTTCGTGCGATAACCCGTTAATACTAGTTTTATATATATATTATATTTTTTAATTAGTGGGTGCCTGTGACTTCCGTCTACATAGGAAAATTAGTTTCCCATACAAATTTCCACCACTTTTTTCATGGAATTTTTTTTAAAGGTGGAATTCTAGGATAAAAACATCCTATGTCCTTCCCCAGGACTCTAAACTATCTCTACATATACCCACCAAATTTCATCAGTCTAATGGTTTAGGCATGAAGAGGTAACAGACAGACACACTTTTTTTAAATTATTAGTAAGGATTATATAGCAATAAATCTGAATATATTACTGTATTATTGTTATTATCTTATTGGTGCATGGTTTAGTACCTAATGGAACATTGCAAGTGTAAGGTTTCTGTGCTTTGAATATATCAAAAGCAAAGTAAGCCTTTACAAAGTTATTATTACTCACATATACAAATATTTCATCATTGCAGTTAGTAATTTCAAACTCATATAGATAATTTCCTAGTCACTAAAAATATTTAATGTATGCAGACTTAAATTTATATAAAAAATGCAAAAAAGAGATCAGCAATGTCATAGATGACATTGCTGATCATGCTGAGGATATCTTTGGGGACATTGCTGAGGGATATCTTTGGGAAATTGGCATGATTAATGTGGATGTGAGCAACTTTGGAATAATAGGCTCTAAAGGGGGAAGGGGGGGGTGGGGTGATGAGAAGCAAGACGATCTAAACTAGTGATAAAGTTTCAAAAATTTTATATTAGAATTAAGTGAAATATTTTTAACAAAAACTATATAATAATATATTGATGTGTGAGAGTATGACTCGTGGCCAAAATATTTTTATAAAATGAATGGCATCAAGTTGCTTACAAAGCTTTAAATATAATGGACACTGAAATTTAAGTACTTATATTAAATTCATTTCATGATAACTTAAGTAGGTATCTTATAGAGTATCTAAATTCATAAAAAAAAAACATTGCACTAATAATTCAAGGTAAAAACTACATAAACTGCTTCCTTTTTACTAAGAATCTACTTTGATACAACTGTGCCTTGTTGAAACTAAAATAATGGTGTAGATTCTGGCATGATTCTCTAAGCTTAAATTTTACAACAGCATATCCTTATCATTCTCAATACAGAACGAAAAGAAGACACTGATGTTAAAATTAGTTTTAAGTTTAAAAGAGCATGCCAAAATTGACACGATAAGGTGCATTGTTTGTTTTAAATTTACTATCACTATAAATCTCTAATAAATTTAAATAAAGCATTATATATCTAAAAACACAAAATATATGTTGATATACATCCCGCAAACTTCTTGAACAACAAACATAGACAAGGAGAGACAACAAGTCTGCGCAGTAGCAATTTTACGTACAAAAACTTCTACTGCACAAGTTTGTTGGTCTGTGGTTATGCTCAAGAAGTTTGCCGCTACCGATACTGGTTTCATTACTAAAAAAGAAAATTTCTTAAAAAACAATAGAAAACAAAACAAGCACCACAACACAGTCTGGCAAAATAAAAAATAAGAAGCACAGACAGTTGCACACAGCTCTATACCAGCTCATTTTTGTTGCCTGTGGCCCGTTGCCCCCTTTTTCTGCATTCAGCTCGAAGTTGTTCTTTACTCATGTTGGCCAATATATCAGGTGACAAAATATTTCGAGGTCTCCCATTATCAGATACCGAGTTCTGTCTGGGTATAGTAATGGAAGTTGCTTGGTTTCGAGCACGTCTCGGCCCTGCCATAATTGCCTCTTCTGTTCTCTTCAATGTTTTGTTTACTGCCAGTTTTATCTACAGTTTTACGCCTTATGGTAGTGGCGTATCTTCATTTCCTTGTAGAGTTGTGGAAAATATTTGAAGAAATAAATATAAATGACATATTATGTATACATATAAGTAGTATGTATCAGTAGACTACTATGATAATAAAATTGTAATGTGTAGAATAATATCAGGTAGATATTCAAAACTTGGAACTTAAGATTAAGACTTGATAAACTGAATTAAATATGCAAGTGAAAATTAAATTGAGTAATAAAATAAATATTAGGGTACATGTTTTTTACTGTACTTACACATAAATATAAAAACAAAAAAAATATTTACTATGAAATGTAGCTGATAATGTATGTTTTATAGTACTGTGTTGGGTTCAAACAGTATTCCTCTGAAGGTATATTAAAAGAGTCGATTAAAAAGACATTCGTCTTCCATCTAAAATATTGATTTTAAAATATGATGAAGTTTGAAGTTGAAACTGAATAAACGTAACCCTTATAAACATCATAAACCAAAACGGATCTTGCGTATTCATAAATAAAAAAGCCACTTTCAGCCCCTAAATAAATAAGCGTTAAAATTGGAAATATTAGGGACAGTCAGCATAATTCAACGTAGATTCTAACCTAACGAAACAATCATTAAATTATCGATAAGTTTTTAGAACTTACTTGAAGAGTGGATCCCAAAGTTTTTAAAAGCTACCTATCACATAAATTAATTTATTAAACAGCTTTCAATTTATTAGAAAAACATCACTAAACACTTTCCTTAGAAATAAAAGTGACACTGATTTTCATAAGTTTCCCCAAAATCATTCAGATTGTGATTTTGCGGGGAGAATCTAGTCATTATAATACCATATAAAAAACGTAGTCTCCAAATAAAGCAACAATTAGCAAGGTAGTCTTTTGTTGTTTGGTCTTAGTTTTTCTGGATTTTTAGATGAATGCCGTACTGGGTGTAAAACAGAGTAGGTACAAGCAAAAGTATGACCTGTATGACCAAAAAACTTAAAATCGTAACCTAACCGGCACCATTTTTGTTCACAAGATTTCAACAAGACAGCTCAAAATAGTTAATTTATAAATCTAAAGAAAATTGCGCAAGAAAAAATTTCACTGGGTCCAGAATTCAGTCAGGATTCTAACTTTATTATACTTTTCAAAAATCAGTTGCGATTTTAGCCACACGCCTCATGATCTCATTGTACGATCGACTAAGTTTGAAAAGACTAACAGAGCGAGGAAAAGAGATAGCATGCCCTTATGGCAATCCTAAAAGGTAGAACGACATGCAACATGATGTACCTATATTCCAATAAAGTAAGAGCCAACATCGTCCTGTCAAGCCGTACTGTGATAAGTTGAAATTCTGTGAAACTAAGAAAATAATTGTTCCTACTTATACATTTTATTTTGTGTTTTAAGCGTATCTTGACAAATCGACACTATTAATCAGATCAAACACCGATACGCACACATGCACAATTCATTTTCTGTTATAACAATTTCTTCAAGGTGGGTCAGGATTCAGAAATCAAATTTGCTGATCGTACCTATACCTATCTACGTATTTGCGTTACAATAAATCGGCACCATGTTTCTTAACTTCTCCAATATATCAGATTAATTATTTGAAATGGTAACACTGCAAAAAAGCACTGACGTGTGGTGTTTTCACAGACTAACAGCTATTAGCTAGTCTGTGGCTGCTTTGACGAATGCAAAAGCCAAAGATTTTGCTAATAATTGCAGCCAGCCGTGCAGCCAGTGCAGCACAGCCTACATAAAATCCTCTGAGCACTATTCATCTTGCTAGATCCAGCATACGGCTGTAAAGAAGATCTTGTATCTGATTCCCACTTAATTTTACGTGTATAGCGAGTTTCTATAGTATTTGATAGCGTTGTCCCGCATGCTGCATCCAGCAAGATGGACAGTGCGTAGAGGACTTATAGAACGCAACCCAAACACAGAACCCAACATTTACGAACGTAACAAAACATTGGGCAACACCAGGAATAAATGAAACACCGGGGTTTTTGGCGGGATTTCATCGAGTGTGGTTGGCGTCTAATTTTAATTATTCTTAAATTCGTTCATAGTGGATATTATGAAATAAAATTAGTGTGATTTTGTGTTACAACTGTCTGCGTAACTGAAGAATTAGTAGAATCTTCAAAATATACGCTATTCCGGTCAAGTGGACGTGAGAATTTTATTGTAGTATTGACTACCTCACAGAGGCTTATCGAAAAAGCCAGCTCGATACATTTCGTGCCAAACACTTCAAGAAACATTAGAATGCGTTACACCGACATTATAATGTAAAAAGAAAAACAGAATAATTTAACGTAAGACTAGGCTGTATGGGCATTGTACCCCTTGCCTTCCTTGAAAAGGGAGAACTTAACCAAAAAAAAATGAAACACCTATTCAAAATTCTCAGCAGTCTTTTCGCTCATTTTCTATAGAGAGCTAGGAATGTTCCGATACCATCAAGGTATCGATACCTACTCATTTCGATAATACTCAAATCTTTTTTCGATACTACTTAAATAAATACTCCTAAAGTATCGATACTTACTGATATCGATACTTTTATTTTATTTTTTACTTTGAGGAAACTAAAGTAAAAACAATGAATGTTAAAGAACAATAATTAAAACAAAATTGAGAAGCAAAAAATCTTTTATTATAAACGTTTTGCGTCACGTTGTTTTAATATTTTAGGAATCCAAAGAGATTATTTAACATTTTAGAAGAGCAGTCGCAAAAAAGAAATGTATAGGATCCTACCTTTCGTTGGTCCCTGTATTTGCTTTGTCTCTAAATTGTCTTTATCCACAGAAATTCCATGAGTCTTAAAATGCTTGAATAAATTGGACGCATTGCCACATTACTTCACAGACTTAAAACATTGTTTACATTTTGCAATTGTTTCGTTTGTTTTGGTAAAATTTTATTGATTTTGGTGGTGCCATGATAACATTGGTATAATAAGCCGATGATTACAATAAATAAAATTACTCGAAAACAATCACTTGTATATTCAAATTAAATCTCGACTTGACAGTTTGACAATTCATTATGTTGACAATGATGACAACTCAAATGGCGGGCGGGCAGCTCTCTCGTTTTCGACTCGTGCTCGGATGAAGTCGGACGAGTTCGGCTCGCCTGGCGCGAGACACGACGCGTCACCCACCACGCCGCTACGCGATGAATACCGGTAACCGAGCGAGAGGGCTTTTGCTCTCTCATACTGTCTGATGCGTTCGGATTTTTTTTTACATGGGGATGCTGGTTCGATTTGATACCAAGTACTTTTGTTTCGATACCGAGTATTCATCGCAAGATTGATTCGATGCTATAAATACTTGGTATCGAATCAAAAGTATCGAGTACCTACTCGTATTTACTAGTATCGGAACATCCCTATAGAGAGCAAGATAAAGACAAACAATTGTCAAAAATAAGAGAAACACATCAGACAGATCAGAATTAGAATAGAACCCATTTGTTTTGCTCGCATGTATACATAATATCTCCATTAGTTTGTGCCACAAACTTGTAAAACCTCTGAATAAGGATCATCGGAATAAGATTCTTATTCAGAGTAAAACGTAGTGGTTAAATCTTCTTTGCACCAACTTTACAGTGATGCTATAGTTTGTGGCTCGCATGATCGCATACATTTTAATCAAAGAAATGTGTTTTTCTATTACTTATATATTTAGACCTATAAAAATGGAAAATGAATGAAAACAACGACATTAATAATTTTATTCCTTCACTATTAAATCCAAGATCTGTAAAGAAAGATAAAACGGGTCTATCGCTAACACAGGTAAACATTTTTAGGGTAATTATTATAGTATTTTTGGGGCATCAATAATAAAGAGAATTTCTTGAATACAATTGTAGTGCATAATTACTGCTTCAGGTCGTGGTAGTATTTATAGAATAAATAATCAACTTGTAAATTTTTAAGTAAATCTTATTGTTATAATATTTTTTCAATTATTATAAAACAAAAGTACCTTAATTTATTGCTTTAAAACTGTTGATTTTGTAGTAGTTCGACAATTAAGTTAATTAAAATTGTATCTTTATAGGAGTTGCAATATTTATTATTGGTTCTCTTAATTTCCATGATTGTTTTTTTTTTCTTAAATTTGTGTTTCCTGTACAACAAACTTCCTGCGGTTTGATTTATGTGTATTTGTAATACATAAATATATTTGCCATCAATTTTGTTACATCTATATTTTTGGTCAATCCTACTTCTATTAATTTGAGTCATATTATTGTCAGAGTAATCCAGGGTTGGTAATCCTATAAATGAATTTTGCTATCCCCTTCAATGCTAAAAGTAAGTTTTTCCTACTCATGTATGAAATAAAAGGGATTCCAGACAGAGTAAAAGTTACACTATTAGTCATTCATACATGATTAACATAGAATACATACATCACTCCATTTATAAATAAATGAATTTATATTTTATGTATGTTTGGCAAACACTAACTTGTTTGTTAAATTAAATGTTTTTTACGCACAGAATTCTGTTACCAGCCGCTGTTCTTTATCATTGAGGAAAAATAATGGCTTAAACAAGATTAATACATCACAGAAGGTAAGTGACGATAACATTAGGTAATTGTTTTAATAATTTATAGTGTCTTAAGAAACTTGTTATGGTTTATAAGAGATTTTGTCCAATATATAAATTTGGAGAAAGTATTACTTCCTATTCTATGACATACTCTATTATGTTTGATATAATTATTTATCTCCAACAAAAGAAATGTAAATTTATATATATATACAGTATAATAGCAAGGTAGGCAAATGACTCTGCCCCACCTGATGTTAAGTGGTGATAAAGTCCAAACGCGAAGATCACTGGTACAGCAGTTATAAACTGCCACACCAACAATCCTCACCTTGCCGGCCTGCAAAAATGTTTCTTCACGCCTTTCTTATAGGAGCCCAGATTGTAGGAAGGAGGGATATATTGTCTGTTCCGGCTGATTTATAGGTTTTTAGTTTTTGCAAGGCATTTCTTACTATAGATTCTAGAATTTCCGGCTCATGATCGGCATTTCCATTGGTGTTCTTTCGTTTCAGTACAGCCCTTCGCTGTACTGTCTCTTTGCGTGCCCTAGGTGCCATTCGGCATAGGCCACCCTGTCTGGGGATTGCCTAGTACCCTAGCGCAATCCCCCAGAGGCGTGTCGCCCGGTCCACTCGTTGGGCCGCGCCGGCCCGGGGGCCTCCCGGTGAAATGGTGCACACAGAGGTGCGCCGATCCCGAGATCCCGCAGCGCACTTAGGATGCTCTCAATTCGTCTGAATATTTTTATGTATCAAACTGCTAGATTTATAAATCTAAACAAAATTGTTAATTCCACTCGGCTAATACCTCCCCAGCCTTACAGCTGCATTCTATCTAGCGCCTTTCGCTAAACAGGCGAATGATCTAACCGCTATGCTGTTAGGCTACCGAGACATTAAGGAAGTGTTGAATTCCTTCTTATATTTTATTCTTCTTTTATTTTATTCTTATTATATACAGGGCGTCTCACGGGTTTGTCAAACAGAGGAGAAGTATAAGTATTAAATATTGACGATAGAATATTTTACTGAAAGACATCATTATCATTTTATTTTTAATAATAAGTAGAACTGCATTCACAATTTAAAAATTCATCTCCTAAAACCGGGAATCAAACTCTTGAAATGTGAAACAAAAAAACACATGTATTTTACGATAACCGTCGAAAGGGTAAATCATGAGGATATTATAATTATATAAAATTTTTTGAATATTTTTTCCTAAATAACATAATTTTTTGCCATTACCATTTCGATGGTTATCATAAAATACGTCGTTTTTTTACGACTTTGATTCCCAGTTATAGCAGGCGATTTAAAAGAAAACTGTGAATGCAGTTATATTTTTTATTAAAAATAAAATTATGTGTTCTTTCAGTAAAATATCCTATCATCAATATTAAAGATACTTTCCCTCTGTGTGAGAGACCCGTGGGACGCCCTGTATATTTGGCTGCTAAGTAGCGCCACTTCTTTACATTGCATGCAACTTTAAGAGATACTTCAACAAGTATCGACTATTTAATTATTTTTTTCATATTTCATTTCATAAATCTAAAGATACGAAGAAGCCAGTGTATTGGTTAAGAATATTTTTCAATATTATTGTGCTAAACGTTCTCTCGTAAATTAAATTGAAAAAAAATCTACTGGTTCTTTATTTTCAGCTCCACACTGTCGACAAAGAAAATTCCCAAAATGTTAATAACTTAACCAAAATTAATTTAAAAACAAAGCTTCCGAAAAATTGTCTGACAAATACAGAAATCACGGATATCGGAAGCGTAAATTTCTCAGCAATTGAAGATCTGGATACAGTGAAGATCAGTCAGGATTTTAGTCCATTAAGTTGCTTAGAACATAGGCAACCAATTGTAGATGATAAGTCCAAAAATATTAACGAATCTCTAATATCAATTTCATCAGCAACAGATCTAATTGATGATGGCAATGATGAAACAGTTGTTTATGATTATCATGATGATATGCCGAAAGTATCAGTATCATTTGGAGTAAAACATTCCAAAGCAGTCGATGTTAGTACCAACAAAAGTTGTCTTAAGCGAATATATTTCTCGACTGTTAATGGATACACATCAGTAGATTGCGATATTATAGAGTGCTCCCAAATTTCTTCGGATAGTAATCTCGATGAAAATATGAATGAAACTGTTTTGCTCAGTCCACGTGAAAAGGCGGCAGTAGCTGTCAACTTAGAAATCAAAAGAAAGAAGGTGTCAAACTACTCTATGGAAAACTCAAAAGTTCTAATTTTGAACACTAATGCTATTGAGAATCTCACCCATGTCATCGTTCAGCCACCAAATTATAAATTAGTGAAACGCCAAATATTGAATAAACGTAAAATTAATAGCGGTGTTAAAAAGAAATCTATTAAATCTCCACTCAAGAATGGGCAAAGTGGTGACAAATTGAAACAAAGATACATAGAGGAATATTTTTCTGGTAAAACCAATGTTTGCAATTTGAAGCTAACTGACGTTAGAGTAGTCGATGAGAGTGGTGATAACATTGTAACTCGTGATGTAGACCAGGAAATGAGCAAGACTTTGGGTGTCGCAGACGCCGTGAAATGCGATCGTATTGGTAAAGGGTCTTGTAAAATTCGGCGTGATAATGAATCTCCAAGGCCTTGCAAGCCTGCTTCTAGGCGAAGTTGTGAGTCTCCTAGGCACCAGGACATCAAAACCTCATGCTCTGACACACCTCATTTACTTTCACCAAAGCAGAAAAATGAAAGTTTAAGGTCGCATTCGCCCAGAAAAAATGTGGACTCCATACAGTTTAGTTTATCTTCTAAAACCAAATCGATAAAAAGCTCTAATACGCCCAGAAGTATTCCACACCATAAAATTGTAGCAGGTTGGTTGATTATTATTATATTTCTGATTTATGTATCTAGTTTAATTGAATACTATGTGTTATTAAATTAGGCTTGTTTTTCGTTACCGTATTTCATTGTTTTAGGAACACATTTTGCCGTGGACGCTTTTTCCTACGGAGACATACCTAACGTTAAACATTATTTCTTGACCCACTTTCATTCGGATCACTATTCAGGGTTGAAGAAAGGATTCAATAAATTATTGTACTGTTCTAAAATCACCGGTAATGCCTTTTCAAGTCGAAAATGATTTTTAAGATAATTTTCTATACATACTGACACATGCTTTACATTTTAGCTGAACTCTGCATGTCCCGGTTAGGAGTTAACGCAAAATACATTCATATTATAAACCCCGATGAGTCCATGCGTGTAGAAGGCGTGGAGGTGATGGCTGTGGACGCCAACCAGTAAGTGAGACCTATATTTGAAAATTTTGCTATATTTCTCCGATAAACTTTTTTTATTCGTCAATGTATTAACTAAGTGTTCAATCCAAAACAATATTCCCGCCGAGCGCTGGTGCTAAGAGCTAAATCCATTTTTAATATTGGAAAGATTTGAATTCCGTTAAACGAGTTCAAGAAATGATTTTTCTTACTACTTATACTTGCATATAGCGACCGTTAACGATTGGGCTGCGGTTCCATGACCCACCACGCGAGGCCAATGCGGATTGGTACCCACCAATCCGCATTGGCTAACGACTGCAGATGCAGATGGGACCAACGGCTTAACGTGCCTTCCGAAGCACGTAGGAGCTCGAGATAGTAAATATTTTGTCACCCATCCTATGACCGACCACAGCGAAAGTTGTTTAACTAATGTTACCTTTGGCCTGTCCCTTTTTTTACATATTGTTTGGTTTTAGCTGTCCTGGCGCATTGATGTTGGTATTCACATTGCCTAACGGGAAAACATTACTCCACACTGGAGATTTTAGAGCCACACCTGCCATGGAGTCGTATCCTATATTTTGGAATAGGGACATTCACACTGTTTATCTAGATACTACGTGAGTTTACTACCTATATCTTTTCTTTTTTTCACTATCATTATCATCGGCTAATTATTGTCACAGCAGTAGGGTTGCTGGGGCATAGACCTTCCCTATGGATGGAATAGGGCGATTTGGCTATGACCCACCAGGTCCAGTGAGGATTTTTGGATGTTAACACCTGCAGATGCATCCGGGACCAACGTCTTAACATCCCTTTCGAAGAACGGAAGAGGTCAAGATATAAAAACTTTTATGGTCACTCATCATCAGACTAGCCATTGCGAAATATGCTTAACTCCTACGATTGCAGGCCAAACAGCTGTTTGCACGATCGAACTCTTCGTTATTCTTCATCATCCCTATCACCATCATCAGCCTATTAGGCTGCCTGTACACGGGAGCGGAGCGTGACTGCGGTGCGGAGAAACGGAGAAATATTAACCAATAAGATTGCACAAATTCTCCGCTGCTCTTCAGTGAATAGAATAAGTGCAATCCTATTGGTTTATATTTCTCCGTTCCTCCGCTCCGCAGCCTCGCTCCGCTCCAGTGGACAGGCAGCCTTAATGTCCAGGTGAGCAAGTCGTAGAGCATCCATCACGGACAAAATAGCAAAGAGAGAACGGATTTTATTCAATAAGTGGTCCTAGTGAGAAATTGTGATAGGTAATGATTAAATTAATGCAGCCAAGAGCTATGCAATGATCAAAATCTCTAACATTATCTTAAATTATTCAAAATAGATTTTTAATCCTTAACCTATTCGACATAAAGTTTAGTTTAGCTCACTTACAGGTACTGTAATCCGCACTACGACTTCCCTACACAGGACCAAAGTTTGGAAATGGCTTTGTATCTACTGCGACAAAAGAAGACGGCATTGGAACAGAACGGGAAAAAGTTCTCGTCTGTTTTGATTGTATGCGGGACTTATACTATTGGTAAGTATGTTTATTGGAAATACAAGCTTCTGCCTTCGACTCTGTGCGACTTTGTGAACTTTAGTTTTTGAGAATATACAAGGAACTTAACATTTTTCCGACATAAAAAGTATCCTTTGTCTCAATCCAGGTAAAAACTGTACCTATGTGTGCAGACACTTCCTGTAAATTGTTCATCGTTCATCCGTTTTTGCGTGATTGAGTAACAAACGGTATAACATGGCGAAGCTTTTAGACGTTCACGATTTCTTGTGACAGTTTAAACTGAAATAAACGAATTTGATAATATCAGCAACATGTTGAGTTCAAGTAGTAGGTAGCCTTTTGCTGAATTTCAACCTTATGTTTAGTTCACCATTAGCCTATTAAAAAAGAAAGAAAGAAGAATTTCCCCATTGCTGGGGTATAGGCCTTTCAGAATGGAATAGGGAGATTGGGCCGTGACCCACCACGCGGGCCCAGTGCCTATTGGTGGGTGCTAACGACTGCAGATGCAGCCGGAACCAACGGCTAAACGTGCCTTACTAAGGAAGCACGGAGGAGCTCAGATAATACATTTTTGGTCATCAATCCAATGACCGACCACTGAGAATGTTCTTTAACTTCAACGATCGCAGCCGAAAGTGCTAACCACTTGTGCCATCGAGCTCCTCTACTACTATGCATAGTTATTTAAAGTTTAGAATTCGTATTGCAAAAAGCAAACCTAAATTAAAGAACATGAATGTATATAAGCGTGTTTTTTAACTGACTTCAGAAAAGGAGGAGGCTCTGTGTTCGACTATATTTTTTATATGTATGTTCACCGATTTCTTCGTCAATTGTGGACGGATTTCGAAAAATCTTTTTTTTATTCGAAAGAGTGCACTTCCGAGGTGGTCCCATTGGAACCAAGTCAGGATCTGTATGGAGGAATCCGGGGAAATTGAGGGAAACCTTCAAATTTTGAAGGCACGCACGATGCTTTTTTTATGCATGTTCACCGATTTCTCCGTTAATTGTGTTATTGTTTACTTGGACGATGTAATTTTCACTAAAATGGACGATTCGATTTTGAAGTCGGTTTTATTTTTTGTTTTTTTTTCAGCATGGTATCTTTAAGGTAAGCTGGTTTATAATAATAAATTCTAATTGATTTAGGCAAGGAGAAATTCTTCTTGGGCATGGCTCGGCGTGTGGGTTGTTCCGTATGGGCTTGCCCAGAGAAGGACAGAGTACTGCAAGCTGTAGAAGGACACAGTTTCAGCCACGCCTCGCCACAATCCTGTCAGCTGCACGTGGTGCCGATGCGAGATCTGACGCACGAGGTTAGAAAGATATTATATAAGTTTGTTTATAGAAGGACAGAGTACTGCAAGCTGTAGAAGGACACAGTTTCAGCCACGCCTCGCCACAATCCTGTCCGCTGCACGTGGTGCCGATGCGAGATCTAACGCACGAGGTTAGAAAGATATTATATAAGTTTGTTTATAGAAAGAAGGACAGAGTAGTGCAAGCTGTAGAAGGACACAGTTTCAGCCACGCCTCGCCTCAATCCTGTCAACTGCACGTGGTGCCGATGCGAGATCTGACGCACGAGGTTAGAAAGATATTATGTAAGTTTGTTTATAGAAGGACAGAGTACTGCAAGCTGTAGAAGGACACAGTTTCAGCCACGCCTCGCCACAATCCTGTCAGCTGCACGTGGTGCCGATGCGAGATCTGACGCACAAGGTTAGAAAGATATTATATAAATTTGTTTATAGAAAGACAGAGTACTGCAAGCTGTAGAAGGACACAGTTTCAGCCACGCCTCAATCCTGTCAGCTGCACGTGGTGCCGATGCGAGATCTGACGCACGAGGTTAGGAAGATATTATATAAGTTTGTCTACAGTAGGTTGTTTATAGAAGGATAGGGTACTGCAAGCTGTAGAAGGACACAGTTTCAGCCACGCCACGCCTCAATCGTGTCAGCTGTACGTGATACTATATGAGATCTGACGCACGAGGTTAGGAAGATATTATATATAATTATATTTTTTAAGCATTAGTTAAATGTTTAAATCTAAAGCTAGATGTTTAAATCTAACGGACTAAGCAGCAGACGGGACTCGAACCTGCACTCTCCGCTATCCATAAAAAAACCATATGCGCAATTTGTCCTAGGTCCACTTGCAGCTACAGCTAATAAAGATAGATTGATTGAATTTGTCATCAATCAATCATTCAATAATGTCAAATTGACAAAAGCTAGTTTTGGTTGACACGCGATTTAGCAAATTGCTTCAAGTGGTCATCCTGGTGGATCCTTCATCATTATAATTTGGGCTTGGTTAATTAGTAGGCTTGATTTTAGTGTGATTCTGAACTTTTGATAATAATATGTCCTTATCATGCTCTAAAGAGAATGAAAAGGAGGGACTGATGGCAGACTTAGTTTTAAGATTGGAGAATCGTGTTAAAATCAGGCCCAGTGTTTATTTATTTTTTATTAATTAATTAAGCACATAGTGGTGTCGATTCTGGGATGATTCTCTTAACTGAAACTTAAATTTGACAACAGTGTAACCCTTTTTTTTGTCTGGTTAGGCTTTACGCATCCTTCAACCACTGGGGGAGCGAGAAGAAGGTATGTGGGACTCCTCCCTGTTCATTTCAGCCAGCTCTGTGGTCGGGTGAAATAAACAGGACCCTACCTATAACGCCCTGAACAGGGCCACTAAAAACCAGACAATACTGCTGCACCGTCACTGTAACCCTGTCATTCTCTATACAGAGTGAAAAGGAGAGACTGATGATAAATTTAGTTTAAAGTTTAGAGAATCGTGCCTGCATAATCGATACCAGTATTGTATTTTTTTGGCTAGACAACGCCCATTTAAAAAAAAATCTTGCCTCTTTTTTTATACAGAAACTGCGCCGCTATTTGGACAGTCTACAAGGAGCTTTCCACGAGATAGTCGCGTTCAAGCCAAGCGGATGGGAGAACGGAAAGAATTCTTCAGTCGAGAAGGACATGGTCACTATTCATGGTAAGTTAATTTATATGACTCATTTCATCTTCCCTTTGACTTCTTAGGTCCCTCGCTCGGTTCTCAGTCAAGTCAGTACAAGGCGAATATAAGTGCTTGTAGAAAGGCTTCAATAGAATATAGAAAAAGTGGCATTTTTAGAATTCCTTTCATACAATTTTCTTTGTGTCAGCAATAGCTGTTGTCAGGGTTTAGCGGTGTGGGTGGTCGTAGAATATAAGTTATTACCCGACTTAAAAAAAGTTTTTTTATGTATGTTCACCGATTTCTCCGTCAATTGTGGACAGATTTCCAAATTTTTTGTTTTATTTTTTCTCTGATAATGACCACAGCCCCGCATGCCCTTTAATTCCGGCTCAAGCTATTACACTGAAAATGTCATTCATTATCCCAATACGATAATACAGGACCGTTCATGTGGAGGTCCAACTCTTAGTTGCTTTTTTATATCTATTCCATTTTGGGTTCACAGGAATGCAAATATAATGTGCATTGTTTATTTACTATGTATGCATTTAAGTAAGTTATTTTTAAAATGTTTAATAACATTTTAGGTATACCATATAGTGAGCACTCCAGCTTCTCCGAGCTGATAAGATTCGTGAAATTCCTGAAGCCAAAGCAAGTTGTGCCCACTGTCGATATCTCTGGAGGAATCAAAGCTGTTCAGGTATATAAACCATATGTCTTTGTTTGGTTGTTGGAATGAGAACAAAAGAAAAACATGCTGGCGCCAGCTACTAACTTTCTGGTGCACATAACGAACGAAGTGGTGGTCTAAAACTTAGATTAAAACAAAAAGGGTAGATACGGTACGCTCGTACTTGCATCAAACAAAAACTGATCCCACGGCAGCGCGAGCGGGACGGCGAGATCCGCGTCACTGCATTACCGACCCGAACGAAACTGCACGTTAAGTTTCAACGGCAGCGCGAACGAGACGGCGAGATCCGCGTCACTGCACTACCGACCAATCACGCGATCAGTACTCGATGTCACTACCGAATAAGATTCAAAACAAACAGCAATTTTTATGAAAAAATATATTTTATAGTACTTACGAATGAAAAGTGATGCCGTGGGGTTTATTTTTAGTCCTTGAGCAATTTGAGCACTTTTTAAAAACACACTTAGGCATTGTTTTATCATTTATAAACACAAAATATTAGCAATATTTCTTTTTGGCGTTCACATGTACGTCGTTTGCATGTCAAGTTGTGACTAAAGCGATTAGGGTCGTGGACCACAATTCATGCGGATCACTTTTGTGAGGCTAGTGCCGTATCTACCCTTTTTGTTTTAATCTAAGGTCTAAAATAACGGTATTTGTGTAAAAAAAGTTAAAAATATTTTTTGAGTTTCCCGTTTAGCTAATTCAAAACTTGTATTTAATTCTATTAAAATTTCTTTCGATTGACTACGTAGGTACGTCCTAAGATGCACAAAAATAAAAAGTAAATTTCTTTTTTCATTTAGCTCATATCATGCTACATTTTGTTTACAGAAATACTTTCCTTGCCCGCTGGTATATAAAGAGGACATACAATGCCAAAGCAAACTGACTGAATTCTTCAGTATACAACATCGACAACAAGTACCTGCTGTGACTTGAACATTTAGGTAATTTTTTTCTTCTAAATTGGTCCTAATGATTCCACCTCTGATGACAAGTGATAGAGGAGTATATACGAGTGAAACCTGGTCGTAAAGGAAATAGCTAAGAAACTGCCCTTAACGCCTATAATTATGTCGCACAAGCCCGTAACATTGTATTTTTTTTTATCAATTACATCCCTTTCTAACTATACTCAAGTGAATATCAACACTTAGTTGTCATTCTGTAATACGGGCCTAAGTCGGCGACAACGTAGTTAAGAAGATTTTTGTTTATTTTCTTAACTACGGGCGTTTTCGCAACTGGAACTCGTTTCTCATATGTCTGTTAATTTGAACATTATTTGCTTCTCTGTAAGAAGAAAAATAAGCCTTGTGTTTATTGTTTCAGATCTACGCCATATCGAATATTTGATAAGCTGCTATTATTTGCGTAACTGTGATGTAATTTCTGATGTTATTTTTAGAATATTGTATTTTTTTAAACTGTTGATATGTAATAAAAAAATGTTAAACATCGGTTGCCTATATCATTTAAATATGTAAGTTTTTCCGTCACACAATCAGGCGAGATAATTGAGTGGAATTGATAGGTACGTAGGTACTATAATTTTAGTGAGTGCTTTAGTGTGGAAATATTAATTTCAATTCTTTACATCGATTGCTTTTACGCTGATCTTTATCAATGCAATGAAATCGAAAAAGTTACCCTTGTAGCTGACTTGATTTAATTATAGTTTATCCTTAATCAAGAGATTAAAAAGGAAGATAAATAAAATACTCGGATACACGTTAACTTGTTTAATACTTTTTAAATGTTGCGTTACTACACATTGGACAGTAGTAGAGCCTCTAAAGCAAGCAATTTATTTAGAAGAAAAAGAAACATTATCTTCTACGACTCGCGCGTTGTTTACACCGCTCAACTTATAGGGTTGTCGCAATTCGCGGCACCTTTACACTTCAACATTTTGCTCAGGTAGTTGTTGTACCAAACTATGATGGCTTGAAATTCCTCTTCGATTGCGTTGTTCATCTCATATGGATCTTCGGATAGGTCGTAAAGCTCTGCAAAATTCTGGAAATTGACAATAATATTTCGTTAATACGTCGCTGCCTAATTGACTTGGTTTATTTACTTCTCCTTTTTATTAATTTCTTTTTCTAAAACATCGAAAGATTAGTAGAAATTAAGTCTATATGTTAACGAAATAAAGTACACTTTCGAACTAGTAAAAAAAGATCCGAATAACACTACATATTTGTCACGAGCGCATTCTATTAGGGATCCTATTTTATCATGGAGTTAAGTAACACCCTAGATAATATGACGAGAGTAATTCCGTTTTTGACGTGACAACGTCTTAAATTAGGTTGCGGCTGGGAGTCACTTATGAAAAAGTGTAACGCTCGGTAACGTTACGATGAGTCTCTCGTGTTAAGTTTAAGTTTACATGTACAATGTTTTAGTAAACAAAATATATTTCTATAGTTAAAATTTGTGCAATTCTTATTTTCATTCAATTCCTTGTTCCTATTGTGCAATTTAATTATATTCATATCAATAAATATTCTACCGAGAAAAAGACGTTGTCACGTAAAATCTTCGCCCGTAAAACCGACTTTACAGGCAACCATTTTTTTTTTTTTAAACTTAATGTTCTAGGTTATTTCTGATGCGATAAAACACCTATAGATAAATACGCAAATATTTGTTATTTTTATTTTCATCTTAACTAAACCGTATGTCAATAGAATTAAGTGAAATATGATCGATCTGGGCCTTATTTCAGCAAGTCGAAAATGTCACTGACAATATGACTGCCTGTCATTTTTATAAGCATTTCCGAAAACAATTCTCAAAATTGACACTTATCATCTGTCTACATGTCAGTGACATATGCCGACTTGGTGAAATAGGGCCCTGCTACAAATTTACAATGGCCGTCTATTTGTTTCATTTTTGTACCTACCGTGAATGTTTTTCTATATCTTCGTTTACGAAAAGGGTTTTCTCTTATGTCAGTGCGATATCCCCTCATTGCTGGCCCAATTAATTGCGTATAATTATCTATTTTAACCGGTGTCACTCCAGACTTCCATGTCATTCTCTTTGTGAAATGCTAAAACCGTGTGTATGTTTTTCTTTGATCTGTATGACAATGATTCTAGGCGTGCAAAATGATATTGATCATGCATGCTACTATGCTAAAGATCTTCGCACATTCCACAGACTTAAAATGTTTATTTCTTAATTCAATTGAATGGCAAACAAGCTTATGATACGTCTGTCTGATTGTAAGTGGCCTGTACAATATCACTCACGTGTCGCTTAATATAACCCCGTCCCCTACCCCGTGGAGCACTAGAATCTTATTCACTGACAGAAACAACACCATCCAAAGGTTGTATTATTTCACTTTGGTCTTCCTTCCGTATAGCGATAAGGTTACTATAAGCAATTAAAACTTAGGCCGGGTTGTCTCATCTATTGAAAAAAATTACTTTAGTATTTTAACTACAGGGGAAATAACGCGGCCTAAATGGCGGCTGTGAAGTTAGTGCAAGTGGCGGCGCAGTAAACAATGTAGGTTTCACTGTTGAGCTCGTGTCTAACTTCACAACAAAGTCATATTTTGACAAATGATAATTTTTGACGTGACAACGTCTTAAATTAGGTTGCGGCTGGGAGTCACTTATGAAAAAGTGTAACGCTCGGTAACGTTACGATGAGTCTCTCGTGTTAAGTTTAAGTTTACATGTACAATGTTTTAGTAAACAAAATATATTTCTATAGTTAAAATTTGTGCAATTCTTATTTTCATTCAATTCCTTGTTCCTATTGTGCAATTTAATTATATTCATATCAATAAATATTCTACCGAGAAAAAGACGTTGTCACGTAAAATCTTCGCCCGTAAAACCGACTTTACAGGCAACCATTTTTTTTTCTCTAGTATTTTAACTGGAGAGGAAAAACAACGCGGCCTAAATGCCGTCTGTGAAGTTAGCGCAAGTGGCGGCGCGGTAAAGAAAATTTAGGTTTAACTGTCGAGCTCGTTTCTAACTTCACAACAAAGTCATATTTTGACAAATGTTAATTTTTTCTCTAGTATTTTAACTAGAAGAAACAACGCGGCATAAATGGCAGCTGTGAAGTTAGTGCAAGTGGCGACGCAGTAAACAATATTAAAGTTTCACTGTTGAGCTCGTTTCTAACAATGTTAAGGTTTAAATTGCCCTATTCTTCCCTAGATTGGCGCTCCAATTCAAGAGGGGAATTAGCTATCTTTTAATTCCACCGCATCAAACCCATAATCTAAAAAATGTGCGAAGATCTTTACATGCCACGAAAATTTTCATGCTAAAAATCAAGCTTTAGCTAATGAGGCGGCGAATTTGTGTGTGTGTGTGAACTTTAACAGTTCCCAGGAATGTTGGTAGACCGTTTGTAAATTTTCAGTAGACACAAAGAATAATGTTCAAGTGCCATTCAAAGCCAATCTGACCACTGAAACCGACTTTTGAAAAGCAAAGCCGCTCTCCTAAATACACTACAGAATTACCCAAAAAGCTGATTTTATATTTAATAAGACGCAAGTTTAAAATTGAGCAATATATAAACTTATTTCTAACAAAAGTTAAAAAAATCAGCAATCTCATTTTTAAGAAATAATTCCTTTTAACTATTTTTTTAATGGTACCTACTTTCTGATCGTCGAAAACGCAATACTTCATGTTGAGCCGTTTCGCAATGTGTCTTACACACGCGAATGTATTGTTTCTCGAGTCCTGGCACTTGCACTCGTATTCTGGGTAGCATTGCTGAAAAAAAATAAAAAATTATATAAATAATGTAGTTTATGTTCTGCAAACAGAAAGCTACTGTATTATAAAGAGACAAGACGGTTTCAGAAATGACACTATATAATTCTTTTCTTACGGAAAACAACTTAGTTCCTAAGTCATCATTATCAGATGCAGCCAGGACAAACAGCTTAACGTGCCTTCCGAAGCATGGAGAAGCTCGAGATAGTAAATTTTTGTTCACCCATCCAATAGCCGACTTCTGCGAAAGTTGCTTAACTTCAACGATCGCAGCCGAAGGCGCTAACCACTTGCGCTATCGAGTTCCTAAATAAGTTTCTTCTATCTTCCTTATTGAAATTTATAGTTATATTTACATATATTAGTCTTAAGTAATCGATTTAAGGAGGAAAGTTTGAAGAAGCAGCATCTTTAATTTCACTAGTTATCAATTAATGTACGATACATCAAAAAGATTGAGGATCACATTAAGATAATAATCGCCTGCACTCCCTTTCGTTCCTTCGTTAATTTTCTTCCCACTATCAGAGTATACTTAAAGCAATTCTCGTCTTTAAGTTCATTTTAGAAATAACTCACCGCAAGATTGTCACTGTCATACTTCCAAGGGCACTTCGGATCGACGCTACCATCTCTGCCTTCACCATAATATTCTACCAACATGTATCTCTCCTTGATTTCCGTTTTAACTTCCAAATCTATAGGTCTCCCATCCATTTGAGTCGCTTCTACACCAGCCAGTTTAAGAATAGTTGGAGCCAAGTCAATATTGAGAACTGGTTGAGGGTCCGTAATGTTTTTCCCGAGCCCTGGACCACGGATCATCAGCGGCACCTTTATGTCCGACTCATAAGGTTGCCTTTTGTCGTACACTTGTGCGAATTGTCCTGAAAATTAAGATTTTTAGAAGAGCCATAAAAATATTCTGAGGTCATATTTTTAATGCTTAATAGGAAAGGCGTTTGACCACAATCTCGCCTGATGGAAAGCGATGTGCAGGCCTAGGATAGTACACGCCTGCCTAGAAGATGCCTGTTCACTTGAACATGTCCAGATTATATTGGTCCGGGAAAACAGACCTCGGCAAGGAGTTCCACTCCCTGGCCGTTCGCATAATGAAGGCGGAAGCAATTCGCTCGTGCGAATGGGAGGGATTTCGACAGCATAAGGGTGAAAGCCCTCGCCGCGCCTGGTCGTCCAGTGGTGGAAAGGGGAAAGGGGGATCAAATTATGTAATCCATCCGCACACTCTCCGAAATGTAACCTTTACCTTATATTCTTAATTCAAATTAGGGCTTAATCTTGTTTAACACTTCATTCTATCTTTGTCAATTGTTTTAGGACCAATAGAGATACAATGAGGCTTAGAAATTGCTGCGATTTTTAATTTGAGTTAAGATCGTTGGTGAAAGTCGGCTCATATTTGATAACTTGAAGCAAGATAAAGCAAGATCCATTTGCATATGTCTACGTTATGTTGATTAGATGTGGTACATACCACATCTAATAAAATGTCCGCATTTATAAACCTAAAGAAGATTTCGTTTTACTCACCGATATGGTAGCCATTGTCAGAAGTGTAGATTAAGTAAGTATTATCCAGTTGCGATACATCTTCTAGTGCTCCTACTACATCTGCTACCATTTCGTCGACGGCCAATAAGGACTCCCATCTGGAGCGGAACACGCGATCCAGTTCCGGAAGTAAGGTATCCGGAAGGGGAGTTGGAGGCATTTTAATGAGCCAGTGTTTGTCCTAAAATGGATGACCATGTAGAAAAATTGTGGCATTCAATTTATTTATACGCCTAGATAGAACAATCCAAATAAATTGCACAAAGAAAACGGCTCATGTTTCGCGCAATATGTGCGTGACTCTAATGTCAGATTGTACTAAAGCAGTCTATGTCTGCCAGTGTAGCGACGGGCATATCTAACATATCTAGTAGATATTTTTTGTACCGCTTCCGTGCTGTTAACAGGGTAGTATAGATATAATAAAAGATTACGACAAAGATTTTTTTTTCTTCCGTAGACAGGAACTTAAATCTTTTTTTTTACTTGCTGGTATACATTTTCATGTTCTTTCAGCTGTCCTGTAATCGCGAAGGATATTCAAGAGATGATTTTAAGCAATTAGATCGCTTTTGCTCACATTATTGTAATCATTATGTTTTTTTATTGTATTCTTTCGTATGTGAGCAGAGATCCGAGCACGAATTTTTACAGCTCCGTAATCGTATCGCCATCGTCATATTTTGTATGGCAGGAGCCACTTTCTTTTTACGTCCGGTAGGGGCGCTGCCTAATTTTCAATATTTTCATAGAATCTGTGACGATGTGATACGATTATAGAGCTCTCAAAATTGTTCGAGCCTCAGTACCTTAGGAAAATGAAGATAAACCAGTTATCTATATATCTTCTCTAACTAACTGACAAGATATCTTCTCAGACAAGGCCTTCTGGTAAACTCCTGAACCGATGGCATAAAATTTGACTTTCATAAGCGTGCAAATTGTACCTAATTGAAAAAAGAAATTTTGATTTTGACTTTGAAAAAAACTAACCTCAGCAGCCACATTGAAGTTGGGATGTTTGACCACCGTAGTGTTCTTGTAGAAGCCTCGATGTCGCGGTGCCGGGGTGAAAGGCTGATGTGGTGCGGGCGGCGCTAACACCATGAGGAACGGCCGAGATTCTGTCTGGTTCTCTATGTAGCTGATACTAAGGTCCCGCTAGAATGTACGAACAAAAACATTTTATAATATGGCGAAATGAAGTTAGTATAAGTCGCCCGGAGAACGAACGAACGATCGAAAAACATTTTTAATGCGCTTGAAACATAAAGTTATGTTATGTTAACTTCATGTTTCGTCATCCGCTGGAATGAAAAGCGAAAAGCATTTTATAATGCGGTAAAACGGAAGTTAGCATAAGTCGCTTGATAGAACGAAAAATATATTATAATGATGATGTCAAAGACATCAATGATGAATGATGTCAAAGGCAAAACATGGACTGAGCAAAGAAATTGATTACTCGCGAATTCGTGCAACTAACGGGCAGAAGTATGAAAGAGAATAAGCGATCGTGCTACCAGTAGTTCGAGTTCGAAATTTTCTAAAAGATGGTTAATAAATACTCAATTACTTTTTATTAGTTAGTTAATAAAACCTTTCTTGCTCTATCATCTATGGGTGATGTAGGCACGAGGTAACTGCGAAGGCAACACTGCGCAGTTTCGTTCGCTGCTAACTTCACAAGCGCCGAACGAGGTTAATAAATAATTACTATGATATAAAGTTACATAATTAGTTATTGGCAAATGGCAAGTTTATTTAACTATTTTTGTTGCCAAAGTATCAAATTAGTTATTAGGTTCTGGGTATTTTATTTCAAGAAGAATCAATCATTAATTAGTATAATAAGTTCACCACGATTTCACGAATATCATTTATAATGACTGGACTTATTGATATTTGCTATAGTGATTGAGTAGACGTTATAAACTGCCAAACACTAAAAATATGATGTTAATTGTGACAGGGTGGCCAGCATCCTTACAAAATCATTCAACTTTAAAACCCGATTTTAAATGAATCGGATATAAATAAAAAAATTAAAGTATCTGTTCATGTTATAATATAAAATAAACGAGCGAGCCTTACGGTAGTCGCGTATGATGTGTAACATTTGAAACCTCACCTTATATTAGTAAAAAAAGAAATAAAACCTACTACAAAAGGAATAAGCCACACAAATTGCAGGAAAGCGAGAGGAAAGATGTTATACTACATCAAAAAGTTTTCAAATGGTATATGTCTTGTTGCTCTCGGAAACCGACTGCCACTTATTAACTAATTTTGTTACACTCACAATGACATCGGTCAGGTAGCGGTCAGTGAGATGTGTCGGCACGCCGTTATTCGACATCACATAGTCATAGTAGACAGAGTTGCCCACCAAGCCGTGCCATTCTGACCAACCGGGAGGCACTATGTCCGGACCTCCGGCCCCCTTGACGCCGTACTGAAACACATGCGTAGCTAGTAAAATGTAATTTAAATCTAATCTATAAATATAGAAATACCTACAAAGCTGCTACGTGTACACTCGGGAACCTCTGTCCAGACATTTATTTTGAGCGTGTATGGTGATCCTCACAGGTGATTTACAGCGTCACCGGGTTTGGGGACAGCGAGATCCTAAAGGGACCTCAAGCTGTGAATTGGGGAGTGCCTCTAGCTAGAGTTATTCCAGGCGGATGGCATACCCCCTCGTGGAGTTTCCTCTCCATCTGGAGCCTCTAGACCACTCGAACCTGAGGGGGTCGGTCGGCTTAACTAGAGGCGCCTCTGAGACTCGGACCTTGGTTCTAGTTAGCCATTGTCGTGAGGGGGTATCCACCCGTACACCCTGTACAGACCGAGGAGGAGGCCGAGCGATCCATAGCGCTACACGAGCACCGTCAGTGATTTATTATTCATCACTGAAACTCGTTGCGTCCATTTTGTCGTCCAAATAAACAGTTTCCATTGACGCGCGACCAAAACCGACTGACGGCGGCGAATCAACTCCTCGGTACGCGTTCCCCAAGAGCGTACGCGTACCTTCAAGGTACCTATGGATATAGCGGTCCAGGGACGTGGAACGCGCTATCCGAACGCAACTTATCGAGTTCATCTGTGTGTTTTCAATTTTCTAATACTTTGTAGAATTGTCATAGAGAAAAAAAACATAACTTATACATAGTTTTAGGTTCTTTATATTTTAATCGGGCACAATGCCAGGGGTCACTTGTAAAATATACACAAACTTAGTAGATAGAATTTGCCCCGCCAGTTTACCTACATCAAATTCCCTATATACAACAACAAATGTATACCCAGTGGTGCGTACTCACATACTTTATTACTCAATAGTTTAACTCTAAAGCGTCAACTCGAAGGCTCGTTGGTAGGACGCGACGCGTTGTTTTTGACTCGCTTTATGTAAAACTATCGAGTAATACCGCATGTGAGTATGAATGATGGCAGAACTTTGCTTGCCCATTTGCTACTTTCGCAATGGGCAATTATAGGATGGATAACTAAAATTTATTTCAACATTACATCTTAGGAAATATCCAGAAAAAAGACATAAAATCTAACATTTCATTCATAGGAGAAACATTTTAAGAAAACTTAAAAAAAAAATACTTTCTTTAACTTACCTGATTCAAATACTTGCCAGCATAAAAGGTATCGTATCCAGCATTTTTCAGGGCATTAGCAAACACTCGATGTTCTTTATGTCGCCAATCGGTACCATAACAACCTCCACTGAGGCTGTTGTTACGTATCATATGGTTGTGGACATACAATCCAGTCAGAATACTAGCTCGACTTGGGCAGCATATAGGTGACGTAACATACTATAGGAGCGAATAGATAACTAGGTATATAAATCAATATCAGATGCCATTAAAAACATTATTAAATTCATTAAGTTAATAATACTGAGAAAAATGAAGCACCCATGTTGTGGAAATATGAATAAACTGTGACAATGAAGGCGACTAGACCAAAGACTCTTTAGTAGACCAGTGTAAAAATCAAATAGATATTTACGACATCGATTTAAGCCCGTATGGTATTATAAGAGATTGGGGAATCTAGCGTACTTCTTTGTCATTCAGAGGTCTGTAAACAATATCCCTATTCTAAAAAACAAAAGTTTCTTATAAGTCCCATCTACTCAGTTACCTAAAGTGTGTTTCACAGCAATGAAAGCTCCAAATCATTCAATAAAACTAATATAGACAGTAATCTCCCCTTCTCTCTTTATAAAGTAGGATAAGGATATGTGCCACTTAACAATATTAAATACCGTAGATACAACAACACAAACAAAATCATGGCCGAAACATGTCCAAAACGTTGGAGTTGAAGGAGCTTGAGTTGAGTTTAAGCACTTCTTGATTGGGACACATTTTGAGCGCTAGTGGTGTATCTAGGGTATTTAATATTGTTGGTGCCACTGTTATATTTAATTTTAGAGAACTAAATTGTAAGTGTGCAATAAAGTAAGCATAGAGTTTTTATCTATACAGGACACAGGTGTCCTAAACTTGGTCATATTTATGCCTAAAATATACTAAAATAATGGCGATACTTTCTAAGAAATAGGTAGGATAACTAAAGAAAATAGCTTAGTACCATGCAAAACTATCAAACTTGTAGGCGGCACTGCTATAAGCACTTATCTCAGACACTATGTCATCAGTTCATAAAGTTATAGCAGGAGACTGTATTGAGGAAAACAGACAAGAAACTTGGCAAGGTCAACCTTAAATTAAATTGTTTATATTGATTATAAACTCAGTGCTTTATGAGATTTCTTAAAATATATTTATTGAATGGATTGCATGGTTGATTTATCAAATAAAATAACTATTGAAATATTCAAATAAAAACATTGTCATCATTTAAATCACTTTGTAACTTCAATACTTACAGAGTTAGTAAATGTGACGCCTTCAGAGCCAATAAAACGTTTCACATTCTTCATTGGAGTCTGAAATCAAATGAAACTACAGTTTTTCTCATTATCTATTTATTTGTTCAACATTTAACATATCTTGTGTACTAACCATGCCATCAAGGACTGCATCTTGATCATCAGTTAGGATTATAACAAAATTTGGCCTTTTCTCGGCATTGCTAAGCATAGGAGTCACAAAAAGGATTAAAATTATATAATGCAACATGTTGGTTGTTTAGCTTAAGGATATTTTTTTAAATAATTTATTGTGGGATTGCTGGCATTAATTCGAGGCCAGAGCACTCACTGGCGATAACAACACCGACTGTGAAAAATCCCACACTCTTCACAACTGACCTGCAAGATTAAAAAGGTCACAATATCAGCAGGCATACTGGTTTATGATTAGCCAAATTGTTTTCCCCTATTAGAGGCAAATAAAAATTTATCTGTCGTAGTTTATTTATACCTACAACAAAATAACAATGTCATGCAGTTTTCTTTCAATAATGATGTTACAGCCACAGCATCGGCATAATAAACTCATTTGATGTGAGTGAATGTGATTTGTGTAACACATTGGAAAAAGTTTGGTCACAATTATGATAATAATTTTTTCTTACTGTCAATAATGTTTAATTTGTAATCAAGTCCAAAAATCCAGATTTTGTGGGTCAATTAAAAATATTTAGACATTCAAAATTATTGATAACGAAATCGGTATATTTGCTGGCAATCGTGTAGCACGTTATGAAGGCCAATTAAATGATTTTAATTACAAAGCTTACTGTGTTGTAAGTCATAAAACACATTTTAAATTAATTAAAGGTTATGTCTGTCCACTTACCATTTGAATGGATCATAGTAAAAGTCCTTAATAAAAGCGACGACTCCTTTTTTTCCCATTATAAGACGAACAGGTCAAATAAAGAAAGAATTAGTTGGATGAATAGAGAAATCGATAAATCTCTAAATTCTTTTCTTTTCAAAAAAATCAAATACTCTAACAATATGAGATGACTGATTGACAGAGACAGACTTTTTTTTTGTTGAAGTTCTCCCGTTTTAGGAAAGCAAAGGGAACAATGCCCATACAGCCTGGTCTTTAATTAAATTAATCTTCTTTTTGTTTTAACATTAGAATGTCGGTGTGACGCATTCTAATGTTTCTTGGAGTGCTTGGCACAAAATGTATCGAGTTGGCTTTTTCGATAAGCTTCTGTGAGGTAGTCAACACTACAATAAAATTCTCACGTCCACTTGACCGGAATAGCGTATATTTTAACGATTCCACTAATTCTTCAGTTACGCAGACAGTTGTTACACAAAACCACACCAATTTTATTTCACAATATCCACTATGAACGAATTTAAGAATAATTAAAAGACGCCAACCGCACTCGATGAAATCCCGCCAAACAGCCACAGAGACAGACAAGCTGACGGTGTTACCTTACCAGATAGCTATTTCGCCTTCCCCCAAAACCCCCCAAAATTCAAAGAAAAATGATTTGCCTGCGGAATTTAATAAAATTTAATAAATTTAAGGATGAAATGAGGCAGCTGTTTACTGCATTTATATCAACGCAACAAAGCCAAATACAGGGAATTATTGCTGATTTGAAGGAAATACAGCTAACCAACTACAACATGAAAAATTCTATTGCTTTGCTCACAACTCAAAATGAACAATTCCAACCACATACACACACCCCCCCACACACACATACAAATACACCTGATACTTTAAGAAATCAGTTGTTATGTGCCCAAAATTTATAAAAAAAATCTGTAATAACTGTCCAATATAACTGTACTAGGCTAAGAGCGAGGCATCCCAACACAAGTATTAATTATTACTTTTTGGGTTATCTTAGCTTGTACTGTAAACTGACTCTGGGAAATAAAATCATCATTTTTCGAAAAATACTCTAGCGACGAAAGGTATTATAGGGTGGTTGATTAAGTGGTGGATCATAATGCTTGGAACTCACAACTAGTCATTTAACATCTATCTTGTACGTGCAATTTATTATTAGTGTTTTTATAACCGGTAACGATAGATATTTTTGTAAATGTGGTTACTTTAGTTAAAGCTGATGATTTTCTTACGCCTATTCTTCTCATCAGTTTAAAGACATCCTGAATGGGGGCTAGGAAAAAATGTTGGACAATTCATAAGAGCGTATTTATTCAGTCATATTTGAATTAAGCTTATTTTCTTTCTTTCAAGTTGTTTTTCTTTTTCCCACCATAATAAAAAAGAAAACATTACTTATTATTTTTTGAACTCAGAGAAAGTAGTTTTAAGGCGGCATAATCGGTATTGCACGTGGATGATAAAACCGCTAGCGGTGAGCCTGCATGTAATGTTCCGATTGATTGAAAACCATTATGCGGTTTAAATATAAAAATTCCGCGTGGATACAGACAAATCCATATATAGGGCAACACTGTCCGAGACTGAATAAGGGCTACCGTTTTCTGCCTCACCAGATGGCGCCACTGTTGAGTGAGGTCCTAAATTGTAACTTTTAAAGTTTATTAATACGCACATGAAATCAAAGGTTACATTTAGATCGTATTTTAACACAAAAGAACCATATCCTAAACATAATAGGCCATGCCACAGTGACGCCCAGTTCCGTTTTATTCGGAAAAAATGGGAACATAATCATTTTTCTAAGCTCAAATTTTTAATAACTGACATTCATTGCCACATAACTCATATTTGCCATAATTAAGCCGAATTGTTACCAATTATTCACAACATTATTTTAATTAGAAATAAACTCGCGTAGTCAACCAACAAGCAATAACATTTGACAGTTTAAATAAGTACTCTTTGCATTTGACATTCCGGAGACCTCACGCTACACTAGCGCCTCTAGCGGCGGATTCATACGCGATAGCCCTCCTGACAGTCTTTTTTATTGAGGGGCAAAAGATATGAAGCCATTGCAGCTTAGTCTTTTGTAACTGTTATATTAAAATTTAGTTTTAATATTTAATCATACTTTATCATCAATGGTTTTATATTTAATCTGCTTCATAAATCTTCCTCTCTTTTATTGAGGTAACCCCTGAAAACACTGGATCATCTATACCTTTCCTTCGTCCTCCTCAAGGAACTTATAAACTAACGTTAGTATAATTTTAAGTTCCTTGGTCTTCCTTCAAGACCTATTTGCTGACCATAGATGAATGATTGGTCTTGCTTCACTCTACGTAGTATCTAAATAGTCTGTGCTTCACTTGTAAAGCGAGAGAAATCATTCATCTATGGTAGTTTTCCAATTACAGAGCATAATGCAACTCAGTGCCGCACAATGCTGAATTATGCTGATGCTTAATTGGAACGTGAATTAGTTTTCAAATGCACCAGCAGAGTGCGCTAAGTTCAGTGTTGAAAAAAAAGTCAATGTTTGTACCTTCATCCATACTTATATTTATTTTTTTAACAGTTTGAGTGAACTTTGATTATTTAAAAAAAAACTATTTAATGAAACGAATGCTTTAATAATTTTTCAACAATAAATAATATTACTAACGATAACATATAAATAAAACATTTCGATCAATGCCAACTTAAAGAAAAAACACTTGTTAATTTTCTGTCTCTGAGTTGGTACGATTGCACGCATCACACGAAAGCATTACTTTTGAGAGTGCTCAATTGTGCGAAGTGTTGCTGTAGTTGGAACACTCAACGTTAAGCATAATGCGCTATAATGCTGTAATTGGAAAGCTACCATATGCTGATGCTTAATAAAAATAAATAAATAAATAAAAATTAGTTTTCAAATGCACCAGCAGAGTGCGCTAAGTTCAGTGTTGAAAAAAAAAGTCAACGTTTGTACCTTCATCCATACTTATATTTTTTTTTTAACACAGTTTGAATTATAAATATAAAAGGAACTAGAATGAAACGAAAGCTTTAAAAAAAATTCAACAATAAATGATATTACTAACGACGCTAGCTCCGTGCCATACAGGTAGTACCTCCCTAGCTGCAGGAGCGGCGGCGGTCTCAGCCGAGTGCTCCAAGCGGCGCAAATATTCAGCTGTCTATGAGAACTACATATTTGTGCCGTTTGGTGTTGAGACTATGGGCTCATGGGGACCAAGCGCTCGTTCAGTGTTGCCAACTCTACGTCTTTTTACGTAGATCTACGTATTTTAGGCCTTTTCCGGAAACCTACTAACATCAGTCCCAGAATCTACGTATTTTCTTAATTTTTTTCAAGTTTGTAAAATAACTTAATTCACTAGAATAAAGAAGAATATTTTCCGTTACTTTACCTAAAAACTATACAAATGTTTATTTCTTATAAAGATGTATCTTACACTCTCGTATCTTGTAGAAAAGGTTCCCGTTATTGGTTTTGTTGACTAAATTAATGCTGGACGCAGGATTTGTGAAAGCAGAAACGACAAAACTCTTTGACTTAGTAGGTACATTCATAACATTAAAAATTGTATTTTTAAACTTTTAATATTATCAATGAGTACCTACTCACATCGAATTGATCTTTGCAAAAAGAAATGACTTTCAGTCGATAAAGTTACAGGATTTAGCAAGTTTTAAACATATGTTCATGTGTAAGTATGTTTATTTCTCTTGGCAATTTAAACCACAACTTTTCTAGTCTTTTACCAAGTGTATCATGATAACTACTATATTTTTCATGTGATCTATTAGAAGTCATGGTTTTATAATATTAACTTAAAAAGTTTATTTCCTACGTGCTTGCGAGTGTTTATTTTCAAATGTTTTGATGTCATAGCATAGATAAGTCTATAGACTAAATAGCGTTTTTGTATAATACATTTATTTTTCGATCTGATAGAACGATTATTAAAAATTTAAAACATAATTCCAAAAAGTGTCAACTAGCCCATTTAACAACAGTTTATCCTTGTCATTCTCTATACAGAATGAAAAGGAGAGACTGATGTTAAATTTAGTTTTAAATTAAGAGAACCATCCAGAATCGACACCCACCAGTGTCTGTGTCTGATGGTAAATGTCTACCACAGCATGGTAAATGCTTCCAATGCAGCGACTACTCCAAGAACTCTTTGTTCTATCTCCCGTTCTTAAACAAATTGTATAACAAAATACTCATTTTATTCGGTTTCACCTAACTTCTTCATTTCACTCAGAAAAAAGTACGTAGATCTACGTACTTTTCATATCCAAAATTTACTAATTCTACGTAATTTTCTCATCGGGCCTACGCCTTTTTCAAAATCCGAGTTGGCAACACTGCGCTCGTTCCTTTTTTAAGGAATTGTCAAAGAGGCTCACTGAAGCGACTGGTGATCAAAAGGCTGGCAGCTATCTAGGTCAACGGATCAGCATTGCCAAAGAGTAGTATTTATATTATTGAGCATCCATCCAACGTGGCAATGCTGCCAGCCTATTGGGCACCATTCCTGACGGCGGCGCTGGGGGTGACATATTTTTTATTTTGTAATTTATATATATTTAAGTAATTAAGTATGTTAAGGTTATTTGGTATGTAAATTTTTTTAATCATGTAGTTTTTAAGTATTTGTTGCTTATATGTAAATATGTGTAAATTTATCTAATAAATATATGATATCAAATAAAAAAACGATAATAAATAAATAAAACATTTCGATCTATACCAACTTAAAGAAAAAACACTTGTTAATTTTCAGTCAATGAGTTGGTACGATTGCACGCATCACACGAAAACATTACTTTTGAGAGTGTTTTGAGAGTGCTCGGTTGTGCGAAGCGTTGCTGTAGTTGAACGTGGTTGAAACATTCAACGTTGCATTATGCCGCATAATGCGCTCTAGTGCTGTAATTGGAAAACTACCTATGTTGCTGACAGTATACTATAGCGTATGAAATTTAAAAATAAAACAACAAAAAGGGGTACATAATTTGAAAGTATGTATTTTATTTAAAAGCAAGCGTAGTTTTATTTATCCAATCCGTATAGTGTGCAAGGTTTGTGTAAACTCCGGGGTAATAAGTATGCCCACACGAATAACCGAATGACACCAGCCCAATGACGACTCCTTTATGAATCAATGGTCCTCCGGAATCGCCTACGCAAGCGTCGAGCCCCCCAACATCAATCAAACCAGCACACAGCATTCCTTTATCGATAACCGCCTGCTTGGTTCTGTACCTTTCTTCGCAAGTGTTTCTGTTTACTACGAAAACAAAAGTGTAGTGAAGTTGATCTGGTTGTGCTCCATTGAACTGAAAAGGACATCGAGCAGCTTATTATAAGGTTTTCATCACACATCTGATATTTGTCTTAGCTTTACCTATATATATATATATATATATTATATAAAAACGCTTTTATTCCAAATAGCAAACAGAATTTTAGAAAATAGCTTTATGATGAAGTATTTTTTGCTGTTGTTATAGGTAAGTTAATATTTGTAGATGAAAGCTTATCCGAATCACCGTCACGCCAGCCTGCCTGCCGTAGTGTTGAGGCCCTGTAGAAACGAAGGAGTGGAGGCCCCCTAAATCTGGGACAGCCACTTACGATTTGTATCCCCTCTCCCGTCAGGTTGGTGATCCGTCCATTTAAGATTTGCATCCCCCACAGTAATTACATCAAATCAAAATATAGGTCAGTAATGAATGCATTTTTAAGGCCTCTGCCACCCATTGCAGCTCTTGCACTCGCCTCTCACAGCCTGCCGCCCTAGGCCATGACCCTCTTGACACGTTTTTTTTGTCGCAGTGGAAACGCATTGACGCGTTTAATCCGCCGGCCGACGAGGATACTCGAGACACCCCCGTCAGGGTCCTCTCCCGGCAAATACCGCGGTGGGTCCCCAAAGAGAGTGCATTCTCTCGGGGAGGATGAGGCCTGGGGACGGAACAAGCCATGACCCTCTTGACCCAGGGTAAATACACCCCTGGCTCAACCTGCCCTGCCTTAAATCTGATACTGCAGTTTTTAATAATTACATAATCATTAGCCTATCAATGGTCCCAATCCTAGAATACTGACCTTCAGGTTTTACCTACATATTTTTAGCTTTAATGACAAGCTAGAAAACCTTGAAAACAACGAATGGTGATGCTATAGAAAGCGAAATTCAACCTGGTCTTCGAAGGCACGGAGGAGTTGGAATCAACAGATCTTACACTGCAAAAGTTCCTTATTCTCTATTTACTGTGCTATGGCTATCCAGAGGCCCAAGAACGAACATTGGCAGCTTCGTAAAGGTATCGCCAAAGTTTCTATGAAAACTAAGCAGCGCTCGTACCGGACATAGGAACAAACTAGCTCTTTCCATACAAAATTTGATGATGATGATACGATTACAGATTTGTCAGTTTGTGCTTGGGCCTCAGGTCCTCAACAATCCCGAAACAACATATTTTCGAAAATTCACTTTTACATGGTTTAGGCAACTGAAATAAACACCCTTCTGATATTATAAATGTACAGTTTGTATGTTTGAATGTTTTTTACTCAATCACGCAAAAACGGCTTAACGGGACTGGATGAAATTTTATACACAGGCAGTTTATAACCTGGAAAGAGAAATAGAATACTTTTTATCCCGGAAAAATGATAAGTTATTTAAGGATTTTCAAAAGCATAAAGTTGACACGTAATTGCGGGCGGCCGCTAGAAGGATCATAATATTATCGGATTATCAGAGAAACTGTGAATAAAGGTACCTAATTGAAAACTTACCTCTTTTGCACCCCATCCTGCTACGACACACCCAGAGAAAGGTTTGACTTCTAAACCTTTTTGTATTATTTTGCTCTGTTTAACATTCACGCTGGTTCTTATTGGTTTATCCACAACCACCACAGCTATATCGTTGAAATAATAGCTCCTGTTGAAACCCTCATGTGGTATGATAGTCTTCAGGTTGTATAAGCTTCCGCCGCCGGTACGAAAGGAGGAACCAACTCTAACTTTCCAGTACTTTGGTAGTGCGTAGCTGAAATTCAGACAGTAAGTAGATAAAATGACAACCTACTAATCAGGTACCTATATTTAGAATCATTTCATAGAATATAGGTCCCTGAAAGTGTGTTACAATATTTATACATAATGCTATACTTCAGATGTGCTTTTTATGAAAAAAGGTGGTAAAGAATCGTATGACCAGCCTCATGATAAGCGGCTGCTTAGCGTATAAGTAATGTTTTCCCAATAAAACACCTAAAACTATGTTCTTTGGTCTATCATCTTTATGCTTGCTTGCTATGTGACACCGTAGGGTTTACCAATCTGGCTGCGCCCGTCCCATGACCCTACCCGGGGGTCCCTCGCTGACCGGCATGGCGTCAGCTGTGCCGGCCACCGACGGACCACGTGACGGCTGCCCCCCTTTGTAGTTCTGTCCTGCAAAGAGGGGGGCGGCGGAGGGAGCTACACGGGCACGCCCAAGTAGCCCTCCGCAGCGGACGGGGGGCAGTATGGTGGGCACTAGGCCGCGTACTCAGCCCCCACGCGCGGGCCATCCTGTGCACGTCTGCGGGGTCCCCGCGATACCCCGGGAGACCCCTGCCGTGGAGCCCCGGCTGGGCCGGGAGGCTGCTAGGTGCGAAGACGCGGAAGAATCCCTAAACGGGGATCCCGCGGCTTCGCGCTAAGCAGCTTAGAGGGTATTCGCAGGGTTTTTTAGCGGATATTATGCTGTAAAGCGCCTGTAAGAGTTACGGGGTCCTCAGTGGGTAGCCACTGCTGGGGCTCGTAAGGCTTGCGGGAGCTAGGTGTGAGGTCCGTTCGGTAGTGTGCCTTTTAAAGGCGCCGTCGTCTGTAAACAGTATTTTTTGCCTGCGTATAAAAAAAAGGGTTTATCAATCTAGACAAACTAACAAGGTATTAGTTATAACTACTTACAATATAACAGAATAGACAAAAAAAACCCTAATTGTATACTGCTCAGCTCAATCAGACACTCGCGCGATGCCTAGTCATAATTCATCCCCTACCCCGTGGAGGCCTGGAACCTTACTCACCGACGGAAACACAATACCACCAAAGATAATATCGCATTTGTAAAAATTGTTATTTCATTGTGGATTTTCTGTAAGGTGGAAGTTACTACTTCCGTAGACGGGCGCTCCAATTCGAGCGGCAAACCCATTATTATGCTCTACCTCTCTTAGTTAACAGTAGTAAGCTGATAAGCATTTATTAGCACGGAGTACTGCTATATTCTGGCTTTAAAAAAGTTTTTATTTTCGTAATCGAAAGAGATTTAGGTACCTACCTACTTCATATCGATGATTTAGATTTTAGTTTAAAAATCATAATGTTACTAGCGGGCGCTCGTATAACTTTGTCCGCGTGCTTTAACAAACAAACTCACTTTGCATTTTATATTGTAACAATTATTTTGACTTACTTTCTTTCCGAGCTTGGGTCGTATTGAAAGCAGTGCGCAGTAGATATCAAATGGCGTAATGTCACAATGACTCCTGCGCAGTGTTGGACATATTGTTGGCGACCTCGCACTTCCTGCTGCTTCAGCATCTGACCCATAACGGGGTACTGGTCTATTGTAGCCGGGTATCCTCCCACAATTTTGTAAAATTGCGCTAGCACTACAAATAAAAAAAATGGTTAAGCATTAAATATATTATCGCCGCTGCAATCATATTGATAATCTAGCACCATTATCGTTATGATTGTATAAGCAGATCTGCAATATGTAGAGAAAATATTATTAAGAAACAAACCCTTAGTAGAAGAACGAATGCCATATATCTACATTAAAGTAGTCCCCAGTACGTATGAGGAAAAATGACAAATGATTCTTACCTTCAGTGATAGACAATAACAAAATAAACACAGGAATATATTTCGTTAACATTTTTCTACGACGGTGCAACGACAACTGAGTCAACTATATTCCTTTCCTTACACTCCATTCCATACTTTCCCAGGTTAGTGTTAGTTTAGTAACTTTGAAGTAATTTGTAAATAAATATTTACCGTACAGCATTTGGAATAAGAGTCATGTTGAGCTGATCTTGAGCGAGTTTTACGATGGTGTTGCTGGTACCTTGATCTTGGTGAGCTTATACCTGTGTAGATGGTCTGCATAGTCTTGGTGCTTCATGTTCACTTAATAGGATTTAATTACTTATTAATTTGTAATAAAATACCACTCTCCCGCTTTATTACGTAGTTAGTATAGTATGTGTCTGTTCTGTTTTCTAGACGGGCGCGAATACATTACCCAACTCAACCAAGCGTAAGTCATTTATATAATCTATTAATATGTAGTATATAAAACATTAAATTATAAATTAAATGCGTGAGTATCGTGGAACACTCGATTGGAAAAATATTTATATACTACCCACCAATCCGCACTGGGCCCACGTGGTGAGTCATATCCCAATCTCCCTATTCCATCAAAAAGTATCCTACCCACTAATTCACACTTGACCCAGTGCGAATAGGGCCCAGTCCGGATTGGACCCAGCGCGGATTGGGCCCAATGCCCTCCTCAATTCGTCTCAATATCTCACTGTTCCATAAAAAAATATCCTACCCACCAATCCCCACTGGAGTCGCGTGGTGGATCATGGTCTGATCCCCCAATTCCGTCAATCTATTAAGTAATCTTTAAACTAAGTCCACAGCCATTACACTCAGCTGCCTCGTTAGGTTGTGACGGAAGAATCTTACAAAATTTTCGCCTAGCCTCTTAGCCTTTATCCGTCATACCGTCCGAAAAGGAACTTCGTTCCATTTTTTTTGTATTTATCATTTATAAACAAATTTCGTTTGCGTGCGTTTTATACAAATGTATTTTTTTCCTTCATTAATCAATATCATAATGCTTAAAGATAACCTGATCTCAGTTCAAAGTATCAAGTTAACAGCATCCTAGCATCACATGTTTGTATAGATTATTGTAGATTATATGCGAACATCAATCATTAGAGAGTGGTTTGTTGCTGCTATGTAAGTAGAATGCGACGGGCGACCGACACTTATTATTCATTGAGCAGCAAACTTGTCATTGATAACTAATTGTTAACAGTCAATTTGAATTACTATGTTATTTGTTCTTCCACTGCCAGTAGTTCAGTAAGTAAGTACTACATAGTTTGTTGTTTTGAGAGTGGTGATCGCCTACGGCAATGGAAATTCCCCACCTCACAGGAGACATCTTCATCACTGTGAATTTATCAGTGCCTTTTTTTCTACTTCCTAGTAGATAGAAAAAAAGCTCTCCTGAGCTTTGGAGCTCCAAGGCGCGGCGTAGGGAATAGGGTAATAAGGGTGTGGTAATTTCACGTCTATAAGTGCTACCGCAATCTATAGATGCGTAATTACTACACCCTTAACTTATCCTCTGTTCTGGTGGAGCGCAATGCTTGTTCGTTTAAGAACGGACGCGACCTGGGGGCCATTCGCCTAACGGAAATGCTATGGAAAACGCTAACGCTTACGATTTCATTTTCTTATTTCTAGCCGCCTGAGGTTTTCAAATGCCTCGCGCTCTTTTTTTTCTTTTGCATTGGTAATAACAATATTAAAAAAATAAGCGTGAGGTATTTGAAAACCTTCGGCGGTCAAAAATAACCAAATAAAATCGAAAGCGTTAGCGTTTTCCATAGCATTTCCGTTAGGCGAATGGCCCCCTGTACTGAGAGACATTTGAGAATTAGGTATTTGAAAAACTATTACTATCGCGCATTGCCAATTATCGTGCGATAGGGACAACAGTAGCTAACGCTGAAAATTGCGTATAGAAATTGCAAAATTCGAGGTTTGGCTTTCGACGATTTCCTCCTCGAAAATTCATATTTGTAAGTAACAGAATATTTACCCATAGAATAATGTGTAGTTATACTAGGTCTCTATGTTTTGTTTTTTTTTGTAAATGCTTATTGAATCTCCGCATTAGACGTCTTTAGAGGTGATAAAAAATGTATATTTTTTGGCATTATTGATGGTTTCTATGTAGTTTCTTTGAAACACAAGTTATGTTACACCTCTTAAGAGCCCTTTTACAAAATTGCGCCGCTTCTGTACTGATCGGCACGTAGGTAGATTTGCACTAGTATATTGCATTTTATGGGTGATGTTTCGAGTCTTATAAAATAATTATTAATGAACGTATTATAAAAATATATACATATTTCAGTAGTTCAATGATGGTAGATTAGTTTTAAGAAAGTTTTTGATAGTAATTCTATTTAATTCAATATCAAAATACGAGGTTGCACCTGCATTATTTTTTGGTAAAACTCACGGAGGTTAGATGTTTTTGAAGTGAAACTTCTTTATCGGCGTTGGAAAAAAATTTACCGTCACATTTTTCGGTTACGCGTCACATTTTTCCGTTACGCGCCATCTTTTTTTATATTAATAGTTGATAGCTGAATGATCACACTGTCGCCGGCGAGAACTCTCTCTACTCGTTTGTAGCTGAGTGACAATAGTTATTAAAGATAAGACTCGCTCAGCCAAACTCGCTCAGCGATACTCGCTCAGCGATACTCGCTCAGCGGTACTCGCTCAGCGGTACTCGCTCAGCGATAATCGCTCGCGATACTCGCCCAGCGGTACTCGCTCAGCGGTACTCGCTCAGCGGTAATCGCTCGCGATACTCGCCCAGCGATACTCGCTCAGCGATACTAGCTCAGCGATACTCGCTCAGCTATACTCGCTCGGTTAAGCTGGCTTGGCTGTCAAAAGCCGTGCGCGTGCATTTTAACTCAGGACTGCCAATTCGTTTCTAGTTTCTACTCGCTTATCGTTCATCGTCGGAGGTGGAACATGTGCCTTAGATTACTGAGCCGTGTAATCATAACAGTTTCATAGGCAGTAATTTGTATTCATGTCTATGATAATAAAATCCTTTTGTTTAAACTTTATCTAATTTAACTTTATTTAACCAATTTCTGGAAAGTTGCATGTAGATCATTTTTCGAAAAATAAGGCCATAAAGTAGTTTCACTTCTTACGTGTGTACACTAGTACACGCACACATTTTTTTTTTGATAATTAATGAAAGAGATGGAAAATCAAAATTCTAATACATTATGTTACAACAAAAACATATTTTTGTAATAATTAATTTGATCTAATTTATTGAACATTATTGAGAGATTGAGGTGTTTGAAGTTGTGCATATTATTGTTTTTTCCGTAAACTAGCTGCAGTAGAACGGTCAGTACAAAAAAAAAGAAAATAGTATTTGCAAATATTCTACATTAATTTATAATAGGAAGAATAAATCTACTGTTTACTTCTATTGGAAATAGTCAAAATCTTTTCTAAGGGGGTAAACGAGGCGCTCAAAAATTTCGATTTTTTGCAAAAAATGTGAAAGGGCTCTTAAGAGGAAGGACATAGCAAATTTGCCGCTCGAATTGGAGCGTCCGCCCGTTTGTGGAAGTAACCTCAACCTTACAGAAGACTACAGTAAAATAACACTAGGTACCTTTTGGCGGTGTTGTTGTGTTTCTGTCGGGAGTAAGGTTCTAGGGCTCCATCTACAGTGTAGGGGATTAAGTCAGGGTAGGCAACAACGGCGCGAATGATATTTTTTGTATTGCTAGCTGTAGGCTTATGGTGTCAGGGGGGCAATATGCTTTTTTGCCACTCATTTATCATAAAAAAATCTTCATGTTTGGTTTGTAATAGGTCTTCTTCCAAAATCTTTGCTTAAATAGGTACTTAATGGGATCATTTTAGTAAATTCGCAAGGACCACAAGTGAGTAACTCACCACGATCTTTGACCTCGCTATCTCTTATCTAAGCATTGCTAAGCACAGATGGTCAATATAACTTTTAGATCACACGGCGTATAACATCACACGAACACTAAAACGGCTGAACATGTTTGCGTAAGATTCTGCGTCCACGAAAATGAAATTGGGTGCAGGATCAAGGCAGAAAGATAGTCAGATAATTTTTAATTAGGATTTTTCATTATCATTATATTTATCCGATTTTAATTTCTATATTGTTACTACTATTTGTTCGACAGTTGTCTTGCGAATTTTATTTAATTTCAGATGACGCCTTCACGGATGCTAACAACAATAATTCGAAAGCTCTGTCTGTCTGATAAATTTTCATGGCCAAACCGCTAAACCAATTTGCGTGTGGAGATAAACGGAAATTCGTTAGAAAATTTGTAGTTTTTTATGGTTCCTTCACCAAAGGGTAAAAACGGGGTCCTAAAATTTACAAAATCAATTCAATTTTATTTATTAAGTCTAGGCTGTTTGTTACAAGCTCTTGTGAACGTCAACTATTTGTAAATCTACGGTGGGAGACCTTGTACAGATAAGAACCAGCAAGAAACTCGGTAAGAGCAATTTATTCTCCCTGTATTATTTCATGTAGTGTCGTCAAATGAAAGGTGTCACTAAAACTTAAAAAACGTACTGATGTCTAGTTACATCTAAGTATCTCTTATCTATTAGACAAGTCCGTCCGTCTGTCTGTGGTGTTGTTTCAGAGGCCAAACCGTAAGAGATAGATAAAGAGAATATTTAAGTTATAAGTTAAGAATAGTCTGATAAGACTACAAACCGGATTTGAATAACGTAGCACTTCCGGTTTTCAAATCACGTTTTGGTGAACATTTGGTTCACTGGTTTGCTAGTCCTATTACTAAGTCTCTGACCGTCTGTCTATTACCAGGCTGTTGAAACTTTGACTGATCTTTTCCTTCCTCTCTCAAGGCAGGCTCTTTATCTCTCACTCTAACCCGCAGCGCTAACCGTATTTTCTCAAGTTAAACAATTTTAATATAAAATAGTTCAACTTAGATTAGGTAGTTTAAATAATCACCTCTGTCATGTCTGTCTGTGGTTTTTTTTAAATTAAGTTTTTATGATAAATCGGTTATTTATTTAACGTCAACATCGA